ACAACAACTGCTACATCCAAAGCGTGCACCCAAAATCGCCTCTACTGGGTCCCAATAGGGGTCCACGGACACAGGCAGATGTGCGTCCAAGATCACCCATCAACATGTAACTACACATTTCAGTGGGTATGAACCTATCCCCCTATTTAGAAATAAACTACAATATACAGAGAGGGTTTAGGGTTTGAGATTTCCGAGTTTAGGGATTAGAGTTTAGGATTTAGTTTAGGGTTGGGGTATAGATACAAACCACTATATACACATAGAGAGTGTCTGTAGCAGCCCTTGCACATACCCAGGGTTGCCTCAACCGGCTCCCAGTAGGCGTCCACATACACAGGCAGCTCTATATATGTGTACACCCACTCAGTCTCATCGATCACCATATGTACAGGCCGTCTGAACGCGTCGTACACCACCTGTCCCCGTTCCTGCACCTGTCCTAAAGAATTGGACACCTCGGGTTCAATATCCGGGTCCTGCTCGGCGCGGACCCACAGCGCGTTGCCATAGTAATCGAATAAAGGGATCCCATTGGCTGACGAGTGCTGGCGGTACCCAGCATTTGCCATAGATGTGTACAGTGATTCGAGGAGTGTGAATGGAAGTACTAGCTCCGCGTTTTGTACTGGTGTGGAGGTGACGTCAATGTAGATGGGCCCCTGAAATGAATAGAAATTAGGGTTTAGGGTTAGAGGTTTTGAGTTTTGCAGTTGAGACTTGGTGTGGGTTGGTTTTTATTTTGGGTTTTGGGGTTTAAGACGTCTAAGGAGTATGAATTCAGTGGGAGCTGAAGGTCAGGGTACCTCACTATATACAGATTTATAGACATCTATATCCATATTTATATGCAGATTCATAAACATATTCATACTCAGATTCATATACATATTTATATACAGATTAATATACATATCTATATACATATTAAGATACCTACGTGTACGCTGTATACCGGTTTAAATATCAACGTACATGCTACATACATACTTCAATCCCAACACGTACACGCATATGTTGTGTAAAGCGTGTGCATGGATATAATCATACAAGCTTCTGTATGTCTTGGGTTTCAGCCAGTTATTGGTTTATCTTAGGAGCATAGGGGTTTCCTACACACATACGTGCCCGTGCATAACATCTACGTAGTACTATACCCCACACAAAAGTATACGGCTTTCTACACAAATAATACAATACAACAACAATAGGCAACAGACACCCAAACAACAATATAGTACACAACTGAGTGCCTTACATTTGAATCACCAATAATCAGCAACAGACACCCAAACAACAATATAAAAATAAGCAACAGACACCCAAAAAACAATATAGTAGCAACTGAGTGCATTACATTTGAAGTCACCAATAATCAGCAACAGACACCCAAACACCAATATAGTAGTGACTGAGTGCCTTACATTTGATATCACCAATAATAAGCAACAGACACCCAAACAATAATATAGTAGCGACTGAGTGCCTTACATTTGCGCCTTCTTGACTGTTCCCCGAGTCATCCTTCAGCGTCATCAAACTACCATCCGCCGCATAGACAACGTGTCCTGTGGCAAAGAGATATGGGAAGAGTGATGATATGATCACAAAGTAATACACATGTATATCATATAACTAGACATACAACTAGAATAAAGTGCGGTATCTATTGAATACGTAGGATAAGTATAACATTAATTACGGTGCAGAATTAGGACTACAGACGGAACTTTTCTCACACCAAATAATGAAATTACAGTCTACACCATTCTCCAGTGTATGCACTCCACAATATATATATACATATATATATATATATATATATACATATCTATATATATATATATACATAATATATATATATATATATATATATATATATATATATATACTATATATATATATATATATACTATATATATACTATATATATATATA